TTCTCTGCATCTGCAGAAGAATCTATTGTTACTAAGGCTCATTCAGCACTCAACAAATTGTAGTTTCTGGCATTTAGCTACAAATTCCTATCAGTTCAATTATCTATAAAATTTTTTATCAATTTTTAATCCACCCCTACTTTTTTATTACTTACATATCCTACTAATATACAACCAACACTACAGAAAAGATAATGAAGATCTGTCAAGTTATAAATCTAAAACCCAAAAAAGGCAGACAGTACAGAAGTGAAAGAGTTTGAGAAACTACTTGCAAAGGCATAAAAGCCCCATAATACTGTATTTTCAAACAAAGTAGGGCCACCAGCAGGCTAACAGAATCCGAAGGGTCAACAGATCGTCCAAGTGTTTAAAAAAAACAACCAAACAATACAAAACAGGTGCTCAGTGAAGATAAGGCTCAAGATGCAAAACCCAATTCTGTTGTGTTCACAAACAAGAAGTTTGGGAAGATTCCTATGTCAGAAACCTTCTTCACAGGGGACAGCCAAGGATTTTTTTCTGAAGTTAAAGCCCTGACAAAAGTGGTTACAGGACAATAGCGACAAAAAAACCAAAACCAAACAACCATCCCCGCCACCAAACAGTAGCAATTTGCCAAGTTGAGATGACATCCACCAAAGAAACTCAAGGATGAAACAACTGAAGTATTAAATGCGATGTGCATTGTCTTGATTTATAATACATTAGTACCAGAGGGCCTGAAGATTACCAAGAAGATACCACTTTGCAAAAAGACCCTAGAAGGAATGTAGATTCAGTGATCACATTAGCCTGCTATCTGTGCGGGGCAAAACAGTGATCACACAGGAAAGTGTGATACACAGGGAGAAGTCAAATAAACTTTTCTGAAGAAGTCACAGCTCAGTCATACTGCAGGTCTTTCTAGATTTCCAAAAGCCATTCAGTGAGGTCCCTTAGTAAAGGCTCTTAAAAAACCCCTCATGTGTCTTGGGACAAATCAAAAGACCACACATGAATAACTGGTGAAAAGACAGGAAACAAAGGCTGGTATGTCTCCGATGGGAGCTCTGTAGAACTGCGTTCAAGCTTGTGCTCTTCAGCACATTTGTTATGGGTAAATAAAAGGATGACAACATTTGTTGATGACACTAAGCAATTCAGAGTAGTGAAGACAAGCACAATCTGCAAACAAATGAAGGAAGAGTTCATACTGCTGAGCGGACAGTAAAATGGCAGATAAAATTTACTGTAGATGTGCATATTTAATGCACATGGTGAAAACAATTCTATTTTTAGATAGAGATGGACTCTTGAGTTGGCCATTACCATGCAGGAATGAGAATCTGGCATAATGATAGAAAGCGCTATGAAAATGCCAAATCACTGCTCTGTAATGGAGAAAAAGCAAAAACAACTGCTAGGAATTACTGGGAATAGAGCACAAGGCTAAAAACATTATGCCAGCATTTTAACTCCTAGCATAAGAGAACAGGAAGGAAAAGGAGAAATAAAGATGACATTTATGAAAGGCAACTGAACACAAAGACACCGCCTCCAGCTCAGGGAACCACAGAGCTATGAATTACTGGAAACTAAGCAAGTCTTCTGGGAGGCAACTGCCCTGCTCTTACACCTTTCTGCTATCGGTCAGCACTGGAAGCAGGATATTGGCGAGAAGGACCTCCCCTGACCTGGCTGTTTTTATTGCTTCTTATCTCTTGTCTTTATTCAGAGCTGGAGCCTTAAAAATTACATTGCAATTCTGAATAAAGACAACAGATAGCAATGATAGCTTAGCTGATCCAAGCCAATGTCCACTGAAACCAGGAGAAGGAACCCATAGGAAATGGGTTTAATCCAGAAAACATTAAGACCCGAAACTGACCTCTTCTGAGGTCAGTGACATGTATCTTTGACTTCAGTGCAGCAGGATGATGCCTACAGCGAGTTACTCATGAACAACTAACAAATTTATAAACCATTTCACATAAACTGAGGTAATTGTAATTTACCATCAGACATACTGAGAACAGGAAAAAACCCTACACAAACCACAACACATCCGTTATGAGCTAAAGCACTGATAGAACAATGGGACCGATATGAGTCAAGTCACTTATCACTGGCTGGTTATAGGGGATGCACAGTAACATGAGACTTTTTATTACATGAACAGGCTACTAAGAATGACAGGCCAGTAATTTCAGTACTTCAAAGGGGTTTTTTTCTTTAACTTATTATGAAGAAGTATGATGAACTCGGACAAAGCAAAAAAGCAAAAGAAATCCAAACAGAAAAGAAAGAAGAGTACATTTACCCCGGCATACGTCACAGAATGGTAAGTTATTTTCTAATCACACAGTTATCACCTACACAGATATACAAACATTTGAAATCTCTGGCAAAACTCTATTAATTCTATTTTGACATAAAAATGAGACGATACAATTTCTGATGGGGGGGGAAAAAAAAAAAAATCAGAGGTCAAGCAGTCTCCTTGCCACTGCATATAGTGAAAACAATAGTAAGCTCATCTTCACTGCACAGTTTGGCTCATGTGGGTGTCAGTTGAATGCTTACACATACTACTACCATAAGGTTTCAAACCCTAGGTAGTATTTACTGACAATATTTAGGTTCAACTAATAGGAGCATTTTTGTCCACATCCAGAGGGACAAAGTATCACCCTAAAATATAATACATTAAAAAAAATACAGAAGAGACAGATGTTTCTTTCTTCTCAAAAGAAGACTGAAAGAGAAAAGATTCTGCAAGTTTATGGTAACCTGAAATCTAAGAAGGAAAACATCAGCTCCTTTTGGGGAAAGAAGTCTGTCTCAGTAAATGTTTAATACACCAGGCACATGTTTGGAGCCACTTAAACAAAAACAATTTAGGAGGGAATCAGTATTATGAAATGCGTCACTAACAGAAGAATGTATTGACACAAGTATTTTAGAAAGCCTCCTTTAATCTTAAAATGTTTCTAATGATCCACAAGTAAGACAAAATTATCTAGTGGAAATAGGGAAAATTAATTGGGAAAATAGTTCAAGATGATCAACAGATACATTCAATTTTTTCTTATCATATTTGCTCCAGCAGAGCTCCATCATGGTGCTCTCACCAGCAAGTCTCTCAGGAGCCCTAAGGCAATAGCTTGTCCATCTGCAAAGCAGAAATGAGTCTGTCCCAAAGTACACTGTAAATGAGTAAGTGAAAGTCTCTGCAGCTGACAGAACCTTGTGACTGCAATTATCAGAGAGCACAGCAAACTTTTTCCATATGCTTTCAAACAAATTTCACAATTATGTTTCTTTGGTCATAGCCAAAACCCAAATATGCTCCATTGTAAGGATTAAAATTAGCATTGCCAATGAGAAGTTAATGCAACACATTAAGAATACCAACCCCGAAATGTGTATTTTATACAGGATGAAACAGTTCTACAGAGGAGATTTCAGTGATTTCCTTCCCTCTCTTGATTGAACAGTGATACAGTAACAGCTAGCATTGGAAAAGCATTAATCCTCTTTAGGTCTGAACTCGCACACAAAAAAAAGTCACTGCTGCATAAAACAAGACTGGAACTTAAGTTAAATGAACATTAAAGCTTACTCTCACACACACTTCACATAGAGAAATGTGAAAATCTAACTAACTGGAGAGCAGGTCCCCATACCTTAAACCAGCCTTTTCTGCATGCATCCAAGTACTGACTGTCATACTGTACCCACGTTGGACACCTACAGCCATGCAGATATACAATAAAATCTACCATTTCTGTTTTACATAAAAGACAGTATGTTGACACTGGCAACAGAAAAATCAAGGTTAAGAGTTAGTTTTAAATGCCTTCTTCCTTTCCACTGTTCACAACTACTTCTAAAGTAAGATTTTTAACTCGTGTCCTCCATTAAAACTGAGTGTTTTATTTAGTTGAAACACTGAGAAAAATCATTCCATTCTTTTTGGGTCAGTTGTTTATGAAGTTAGTTTTACCACCTTTTTTTCCTGGATGCTGATTTGTTATTAAATATTATCTGAAGCAACATGCACATATGGGATTCCTTTCTGAAAAATAGTTTATGTATTGAGTATGAAAAACACATTTGGACTGTTCCAAACATAAGCAGTAAATGTTTAGCATGCAATACCATTCATGTACAATATGTAATAACCTTATTTTTGTCATGTAGTTACAAACGCTAGTCTACCAACTGTACAGTTATCTTCATCGTTTTTTCAATCAAGTTTGAAATTCCTAAACACAGCAATAAATTTTTTTGTTTTAACAACCAAGTTCTTTTATTATTTTCCAAAACTCAGTTTACAAGATTTCCAGTCTACTTTTTACCTCCCTTGGTGGTTTCAGCAAAGATTAAGGACAATCAATTCTTTCCAAGCTCTCTCCTGGAGCTTGTGTCGTTACCTCATTTCCTGGCTCCTATGAAGCAATGTGAGACAAGACTTTGGTGAAAACTATCACCATAACATTTACATTTCCAAATACTGAGTTCAGTTCCTCAAAAATAGTAATGAACTCCATGGCATATGAGATTGAACTTCCTCATGCATCACACACTCTTTTCTTCAGGTGTTCATACAACTGAGAAGGGTTTTAAAAAAATGTTACTGGATAGTTTTCCAACTCTCCCAAGCAATCATCCCTCCTTTTCTCTTTCACACTTCCCAATAACGTATTTCACTATACGCTCCAACTTTTGGACACTGTCAGGGTCTTCTTACTCTTGATCTGGTCATCTCTGCTAGCTCTGTTAAGCACCTCTCTTTCACACTCATTCAAACCACAGCATAACATATAGCACCACATCCTAAATAAAAAAAAAAATTGTTTTCCTCAGCTTCATCATTCAGGCAGACTTATAGATCAATTAAAAGAAGAACCAGATCTTCGTTGAAGATCAGATTATATTTAAGCTCAAGGACTACACATCATTTGATATTTAAAAGCCACACAAAACAATTTTACTGCTGTAACATAAAAACTTACCCACTTGGCAATTGGACACCCCTGAGAGCTTTTTCCTTCCTTTCCTGTATAAACCACTACCTCTATTCTTACAGCGCTTCCTTTTGCTCCATACCTGCATTAAAAAAAGTTCATGAGTAAAACAAACTGCTGTAGACCACTTTAAAACAGTAAACATTTTCAGTAAAACAAGAACAACAAATTTATTTTTACTTTACTGAGAATAGAAGAAAAACAAAGTATTTATACTGTCAAAAAATACTTTTAAATTTAAAATCCTATTTGCAAGAGTGATTTTTGACATCTTTCTTCTTATAACAAGCTTCTGCCACTACAGAAACATTATTTGGGGAAGAAAATGTTATCTGCATGTAAATCCTAGTGCACTTAGTCACTAATGTGACCCTTCTGTCCAATTTGCCACAGCTTCTTCACATGTAGGAGACCAGAAAACCTAATTCTGTCAGCTGCTCATCTCTGTCATTCCTATTGACTTCAGTGGTACCTAAGAGCATGCTGCACTTGAAATTCAACCCTGAAGTTGCAAGAGCTCAGAAAAGACACGAGTTTGGAACCGAAATGCTAGTGCTCACCTCATGCACATCTGAAGAAGAAAACACTTTACAAATGAGTACTGCAAAAAGTTTAGAAAAACAAAGCTAAACATAGCATCTGATTTCTCATAGCTCTTCTTCTTTCCTGCTTAGACAGTCAAAAATACATGCGCATTAAATGCTCAATTTTCCTTACCTGTTCTCCATTATTTCTCTTACAGCAGCAACACTTGGTCCTGTCCCGAGGTGTGTGTAATATGGGCCTTCATCTTTCTCTATAATTTGCTCTGTAAGCAGGTTGAGAAAACTAAGTTGGCATATACAAAATTTATTTACACCATTACAAGTAAGCTTAGAAATGGTTTACAGAAACATCTTCCAAATTAAATTACAACACATAAAATTTGTCTCTGAAACTTAATGAATAAAGAGTATGACAGATTTTTCTCCTCAGAGGCATCAAAATTATTTTATAATTATTTCCTCCTATTAATCTGCTAGTACTTTTTCTTTATGTTATAAAGTAATCCTAATTATAGTAGTATTTTTCATTCTTTACAAATTTTCATTACAGGAGCTGGCATATATTGACTAAGTAAGCTTCCCAATATCCTTGTTGGTAGGAAAACATTATTAATTCATTTTAGACAAGGGGGGGGAGGGGGGAGATTAACTGAGAGTCGTATATTACAGAACAGAAAACATAATCCAGGCCTCTTAACTAGCACTCTGTTGATTCAGAACATTAAAGCAAAGATGAATCAATCTGCCTGTGTACAATTTGTTGTTAAGTCTGTGACTTGTTTTTCCATCTGTGTGCTTTGATAGTCTGAAAACACAGCATGTCTAACACCATCAATCAAGCTGTATTTGCAAAATTCTCAATACTGAGTTCAGTCTGACATCTCATCCTGCAACGCAAATTATTACATATGTGGCCACCTCACGTGAACTCCACCTTACCTCTCCTTTCTGCAATGAGAGGCGTCTAGTAGCCTTTGACATGGACTCTAAGGCAAACTGACATCAGTCATCAAGACTAACAGTGACAGTAACAAGACCACCCACAACTATGCCCTGGCACTTACCTAACAGCATTTAGACAACAATGACAGTATACTGGGAAATTTTTGCCCAGCCCCTCTCGGGCAAAAACTAGTTCTAGACCATAAAAATCAGAATCGGATATACTGCAGATAAATTCACATAGAGCACAAGTCAGCAATGACAAAACAACAAACAGAAAAACTCCTTTTCCTCCTGGGTTTAAATTTAAGTAGAGAATTTAAACCCGCCAGTTGCAATACCAAAAATACTTAATTCTGCTGTGCTTTGCAGGCCCAAAGAACACCAGGCAAATGTTACAGAAAGGGAAAAAATAATTTTCTCCAATTTCCTAATGGCAAAACACTGATCCTTTTGAAATAGCTAAGTAAGTGTCAAGTACACTTCCTCACATTAAAGGAAGCAACATAAACACACCTCCATCTGAAAGGTACAGGCAAGAGTTAGCAAAAAGACTTACCAACACAGTCACAAGTTGGCAATTCAGATTGTCCTTTTTTTGTAGGTGTATCTATTAAATTTTTTGTAGGGGTATCAAGAAACTTCATAGGTGATTCAAGGAAACTGCTGAGCGTGTTTTTTGCTGGAGAACACCCTGAGTCACCTGTGCTCTGTGGGTGGTCAGTACCCAAACTGGTTGACGTCAGAACGGTCACTTCGCCCGCACACTCCATATTCCTGAGAGCTTCAACAGAACCTGGTACCTGGGCCCCACCACAGGGAACAGGCAGCACCTGCGACTTTGGATCTACTTGTTTTTCGACAGCACCCTGCTGAACGTAGGTTTTGTCTTCACTATGCATTTCGTTAGCTCTCAGGTTAAACTGATTAAAAGTTTGAGGCAAAGGATGCGTCTGACTGACATTCACTGTTTGCTGTACCTGAGAATTACATTTTTGTGTAAACATCTGTAGGTTTTCACTTGGTCTGTTCAATAACGATGCTGTTTTCAACTGTGAAACAGCCAGAGGATTACAGGACAGGTCACTATATTGGTTACGTGCAACAACTTCATTTTTCAGTGGATCAATGCCTAGTGGGTCACTGGAGCCTGCAGTTTTGATTTGCTCATTCACCACTTCAGAGCCAAACAACCTGTCTTTTTTTTTCTCTTGTGGTACCTCAGGTAAACATCTATGGAATTTTATCTGCGTTTGCGGAAGAAATAACCTAGGTTTTTCTTGTGATGCTAAAGTATTTTGATTTAGTGCTCTCTGTACTTTGGTTCTTGGAGATTTTTTTTCAGATGGAGCTATTCTGGAGTCCTGTGGCATGGTTTGACCAAGCTTGTGCAGTTTTGATGATATCCAAATGTCCTGTAACTCACTATGCTGGCATGACAACAGCTCTAGCTGGTTTTGATTATTTTGTTGATAGCGTGCTTCTTGAGGCTTCTTTTTGTGTCTTGGTTTCCATGGTACAGCATTTCCTTTTTTATTTGTTGGTTGTTTTTGCTTTAACAGTAAGGAACTATAATTATGCCGAAAAAATACAGATTCTTTTTTCTGCAATACATCTTGGTTATATTTTGGCTGCCTCTCGTGTGATATTAGATTAAGCAGTGATGCCTTTATGTCATTCTTCTGCTCTGGATTTGCCTGGTTTGATTCAATTAGCGCTGCAAGCTGAGTTAGTTGTGTAGCTACATCCTCTTCATCCTGGCTGTGAATTCCTCCTTCTTTGATTAAAGAACTAGCTTCCAAGTTCAAATCATTACAGGTTGGCTTTTGCTCTAACTGGCCAAGAGTGTCCAAGTTGTTACTTGTTTGCTGGACATTACATGAAGCATTGCAATACCGTGCAAGGGTGACTGGATCATGAGTGTAATTTTTCTTGGTAGTATATCCTGAAAATGATTTTGCATTAGATGTTAAGTCAGATAAAGTTTTGGTATCTCTTGAGGATAACTGTAATTTATACATCTCACCAGCCAGATTGGCAGGTTTATCACGCAATTCAGAAACTGAACTTTGGCCATTGTATAACACTGCCTTATTAGGGAGCTGCTTCTGCGAGTGAGCACAGTGAGCCAAGAGCTGTTGCTCATTCTGTAAGTAAGTGTCTTTGATTTCTTTTAATGCAGAAGATGTAAAGGAGGATGAGATATCCCTTTTATAACTATGGAGCAAGTTGGAAGTTGTTTCTTCTGTACATTCAGTCCTTTCAGTTTTAGCTGGTGAAGTTGTTTCTAAAGGGGCTTCAGATAACCGTGTTAAAGCTTCAATAGCTACAACCTGCTCTACAGTTAAATTTCTGTTTTTAATCAGGGACAAGAAAGTCGGCTGGAGTGAAGAATCCTCATGCTGTGTCCCTGTGTTAGGTACTTTGAAGCCATCCTTCCCTACATGCACTTCCTCTTCAGGCAGTGGAGGACAACACAAGCTTTCTTGCAGATCCGAAATGGAACCTGTCTGCAAAATTGACTTATCAGAATCCTCAAAGATGCTGCAAGTGCAGTTTTCCTCTTTCATTAAAATATTTCTTTGTTTTGCTGGGTGAACACAGCCAACACCAGTCGTCAGAGTGTTTACTATGTTATTCAGATTGGTACCCTTCATCCATTGCATATGGGAGTTGCTTGTCAAATCTGTCCTTTCCTCTATGGATACTTTTTTCAGCGAAGCAACTGCTTCCGGTGGTGAATAATGTAGGGTTTTTATGCCATTTTTGATGGTCTGTGCAAATGATTTTTTTGGCTCAGCTAACCGACTGGGAGACACTGCCCTTTCACTGTCTTCAGCGTTTTTCAAGTCTTCGTTGCCCGTCACAGTTCCATGGATATCTCCGTTGACATGGACACCAAAAGATGGCTTCTCGTTATGTGCCCACTTCTCTGCTTCTAAGCCTGTCATTCTTTCTTTCTCCTTAGACTGCACATTTTCAATGGGTACTGTTTGGTTTGTTTTCACCCTATATTTTTCACCATGACCACATATACTGCATTCCATGAGTTCTGGTCTGCGGCCATTTACTGGTTTGTTTTCTAAATTTGCCTATAAAATAAAAAATAAAAAATTTGTTGTAACAGCTGTTCAAAAACATTAAAAATAAGCATAAGATTTACAGCAATTAAACCCTACTTTGACAGATATGAGGAATATCCTAAGTAAGCACAGGCACAGACGTTGAAAAAAAACCCAGGAAGTCATAAAAAACCCCAAAGCCTAAAGACCCTATCCATATTTACAGCTGTTTTTCCCCACTGGGGGGGGTGGGCAGAGGAAGAAAGTGTGTGCATGTGGTGGTGGTGGGAGACTAAAGAAATGAATGAACAGATAAAGGATGTTAGCATTTAGAATCACATCTAAGGATTCCATTTTTAATGAATTTGCATAAGCAGATGAAAGTCTCCCTTGAGTTCAAAGCAGGACTGAAATCTAAAGGCTTGTACCACAGAAAGTTTAGTAGTAATTTGGTATAATTATACCGATTTGGCTAGACCAACAAACTGATACAACACTTGGCTGGACACTCTAGCAAGAATGGCTGGGTTTCAGGCTTAGTTTCAAGTCCTTAAAACATGACAAAACCTAAGCTGAAATGGAGAGTAAGCCAATTAACATTAGCTCACCTGAAAGTTACCCTCTAATCACTGTGTTTAGCTCTATATTTAAGATGGTAAGGGGGGGGTGGGCAGAGGAAGAAAGTGTGTGCATGTGGTGGTGGTGGGAGACTAAAGAAATGAATGAACAGATAAAGGATGTTAGCATTTAGAATCACATCTAAGGATTCCATTTTTAATGAATTTGCATAAGCAGATGAAAGTCTCCCTTGAGTTCAAAGCAGGACTGAAATCTAAAGGCTTGTACCACAGAAAGTTTAGTAGTAATTTGGTATAATTATACCGATTTGGCTAGACCAACAAACTGATACAACACTTGGCTGGACACTCTAGCAAGAATGGCTGGGTTTCAGGCTTAGTTTCAAGTCCTTAAAACATGACAAAACCTAAGCTGAAATGGAGAGTAAGCCAATTAACATTAGCTCACCTGAAAGTTACCCTCTAATCACTGTGTTTAGCTTCTATATTTAGATGGTAACTTCCAGGTTTCTGAACAGCCTCTCATGTAAGCTATCCTTAACAGTATTTTAGTAAACTCTAAATTCTAATATTTGGTTAAAAATATTCATCTTCACTAATATTAATCAATTCATGTGGTTGAAGCAATGTCAAAATCTAGATAGAGTCAGAATACTGTGTCCTGGGAAGAATATGTATGTGGGCCTTATGATAGTATTATGGATATGAAGTAAGGAGTTATGCAATTTAAGTTTAAAAAAAAATAAGGCAGGAACTCAGGCAGAAACAGCAATAAAGGCAGGAATCCAATTTTTATTACGTTAATCAAATTTGATTTCTATTTATATTAGGTTCTTTTAAAAAAAATAATTTTAAGTCACAATAGACAGTGCTGGTACTTAATCTAAGAGTTATGTAAATAATTTGCAGCCTTAAGCTCTACTTAACAAGAAAACTAGTATTACTTTTCAAATCAGATATAAGCAATACAACTGGTTAATTAACCATACGTTAGCACAGTACCCCCTAGCAGTTCCCAGAAAATAGCACCCAGTTTAATATAAAACATTCAGTTAAATCAGACATGGTTTTGTGGTCATACCAACTGAAGTGCATGGACTTCTCTGAGAAAATAACTCAGAAGAACAAATGCAAAATCGATTTATGATTAATCATAACCATCGAGATGGAACTGCCAGAAACCCCCAGGCAAAACAACGTATACGGACCCAGCTCCATCTGGAGCCCAGTGTTCACCTCACAAATGATTCCCGACTGATAAAACACAAAACCGGGAAGCCATAGAATGCCCTAGATATTATGAGAGGCATCATAAATTCTCATGGAAATGCTATATAAAAATATGTCCAGCACCTACGCAGCTAAGTCAAACCGATGGAAATCACATTAAGAAAGAAAGATACCTTATTTAATGCTTTTTCATTACACACAGATGCTGACTAATGGTCTGTGAGCCTGAACTCCTCTGGATCCTGGTGATTTTCAATCAATGATCCACAGACTCAGGGGATCACTGAGCAGTTTCTAAGGGATCCACAAAAGCAGTTAAGCAGCTCTATTGTTAGCAGGGGTAAATGCATTACACAGGCCTCTGCACCGTACCAGAAAATATTTTAAGGGTCCACCATGAAAAAGTAAAAACCCACAATTCTGTACCTGTGCAAAAGCTGAATTTCAATTATCTTAATTTAACTTCAGAAAGAACTACGATATGAAATTGCTGTTTTTTCTTCAGCGAAAGTATATCTTAAGATCTCTATCAGTCCAAAAGTTTTCCCAACTATGTAAAATTGTTATTAAAAATTATTTAATTAGACAATTAGGAGGCTGAGGAGATAGAAGCAAATAGATGAAAATAATTCCCCAGCATTTGTACATTTTCAACACGACAACACATTTTTGTATTCCCTTCATTTTTAAGAGGGTGTAACTCACTACATTTTAAAAAAAAAATCTAAGTCTGGTAAATTGAGAGCGATGAGAGGTGGGGGGAAGGGGGAGGGTTCATCCATGATCAGCAAAGATGAGAAGATCTGACACAGAGTCCACTGACAGCACTCAAAAGTGCAAAAATGTCATCACACTTCTCTTAACTATGTTGTTCCTCAATAAAATACTTTCATCTGACCAAAAAGCACTGCTACACTAAAAAATACTGAGGATATTCCCTAATCTGCCAGTAGTGCACAGGTGCAGTGCTGTGTCCCCAAAGACCGCAGTGATCTCAGCAGTAAAATGGGATTACTTTTAAAATAAAATTATTCCTCATACATCACAATTTCCACTAACATTACTGAAAGCTGCCCACATGCAATGAAGAAGAACCAGATGAATCATATCATTGGCATGATTTGGTCCATATTTTATTTTTCCACACAACGAATAAATATTATCATAAAATTGGACTTTTTTTTTTTTAAATCAAACGCTCTTCCTTTTGAGCACTACGTTGCTTTCTTTCTTCTGTTACTGAACTGCAATGAATCCTAAAAAATACCTTTTTCCTCTCTTACCAGACTTTCCAGTGGCCTTTTGTTTAATATGTGAAATTACTGTTTCCCAACATAAAGAAATGCAGACATACTAGCAGGGCAGAGGTCATTTGATACTTCTCCTCAATGTAAGTCTGGGAGACCAAAAGTAACAGCTCAGCAAAAACCTTTTGCAGATGAACAACCTAGGAGCAATCTATCTCTACCTCAAAACCTCAAAAAGGACAAAAAAAAAAAAAAAAAAAAAAAGTAGTGAAAACTATAGAGAAGGATACCACAATTCCAAGCAAGAGTCTTAAAATTCATGGAAGTTAAGCACGTGTCTGATCTGATTGATTTCTAAATCCTTTATACAAGTGTAATGAAAAGCTGAAGAATAAACTGGATCGATAAAAGTAATTTCCTCCCTTCCTCATTAAGGACAGCACTACTCTATCTGGAGACATAAAACACTAACAAATCATGCTCAAGCTTAGACTCTGCAGTAGTTAGTGCTATTAGGACAGGAACCATAGAGTACAGTCTGCTGTAGCCATTGCTGTATTACTTAAACTTCAACCAGACGTTATCTCTCATATATACACACACACATATACACACACACACAAAATTCACTCCATGAGCTAATGCTTCCAGCACATACGGAAAGCCAGTTACAGCAAATCATTTCACCAGTCTAAAAAGGGTCAGACTTTAATATTAACTTTTCTTTTAACGCAAGAGGCCTCTGAGGTAATGCAAAGAGTTCACCAATTCACAATCAAAATACAATGCTAAAGCAACCCTAAAGACATTTCCACATCTTCTGTACAACAGAAGCCATAGGTTTATGTCTCGTTTCAAACCTCTATAGGTGGTAACAACACATACTGTACTAAAGGACACAACCAGAAACAATTACTCCCATAAACCAGAAGTAACAGATGATGCCCAGATCAACTACTGACAAAATGGCTCTACAAGCAAGCCGTGACAAGTTACACAATAAACAATGCCAAGTCCCCTTAACTAGCCCTCCCTATAGAATTCTGCCCAGGTCCCCACAAGAGCACAGTACCCAACAGATTAAAAAAAATACTTGCACCTCCTAGCTTGTGCCAATAACCAGGATGACCTGAAAGGCAGTTCTTCTCAGGCCACAACATTCATCAACATAAAAGGATGAGTGGGTGAGAAGTGCTTGCACTTTGCATCTCTTTTCCATTGCAGTGCAATGGGTAAGTTTGGATCCTGTCACAGTGTCTAAAGCCACGTAGCCAGCCCCACAGGCCCTTCCACGTTGGCACAGAGCTGGCAGCTCCTCAGAGCTCAAATACCACAACAGAAGTTTTCTTTCAGAAAAACTGTTTGGAAAAAAACCCAAACATACTTCATCTAACATTTGAACAGGGTGTTTTATTCATGGTCCAACTGTCAGATGTCACTGCTTCACCAAGAGATATGAAAGCACCAGCCAGCTGACCAGCAGCAATTTACTCCTATGCAATTTATTCCTACTCTCTAGCATCTGCTCCCCAGGACATGCAGAAATTCAGCTGAATCCAGGACCTGCACTGTACAGGACCAACATACAGGGATAAGGAGATAAGATATGGACAGGGCAGGGGATAGGGAGACAAAGCACAGGTGTGGAGAAACAGTTGCTTATGCTGAGTGCTATGTAGAAAGCCATGCACTGGTTAGAACAGAGACGAATGTAAGGCAGGATGCCACGGAAAGTATAGGCCACCTTCTAAGTACAGCCAAGTTTTTTTGCATTCCAAAATAAATGCAGATACAATAATACATTTAAGGATAAACATCTATTTAAGACCACACGTGTTTGACTACTGTGATGCAGACAACAGCAATGCGCTGTAAGTTACTGCCCAAGGCTGCAGCCTCAGCAGGGTTTCCGAGCAGGCCACCAGCAGAGAGAGGAGAACAGCTGAGTAGGGGCCATGCTGCAAGCTGGGGCATA